TTTATAAAGGAAAGAGGTTTATTTTGACTTACAGTTCTTCTGCAGGCTATGCAGAAAGTATGGTGCTGCCATCTGCTTCTGGTGAGCACTTCAGGAAGCTTACAATCATGGTGGAAGGTGAAGGGGAAGCAGGCATATCACATAATGAGAGAGGAAGCAAGAGACAGAAGGCAGAGGTCCCAGACTCTTAAACAATTAGATCTCACATGAACTAAGCAAGACTCACTTACCACCAAGGGGATGGCACTAAGCCATTCGTGAGGGATCTGCCCCCATAATCTAATACCTCCCACTAGAGGCCCCACCTCCAACATTGGGGGTCACATTTCAACCTGAGATTTGGAGGGACAAACATTCAAACTGTATCCACCTCCATTCATCTTATTTTCCCAGACTGTATGCAGAAATTTAAATGGTATCTTCTATATGGTACCAAGAATATATGTAATATGCAATTGAAATAATCACAAACATTTTCATGTGAAATTTTTGTAAAATTAATTGGAATAAAGTTAGCATATAAAATGCTAAATCTTCAGATAGTATCTATTATTACCCTGTTTTCACGCTGCTGATAAAGACATGCTTGAGACTGGAAAAAAAAAAAGAGCTTTAATTGGACTTAGAGTTCCACATGGCTGCGGAGGCCTCAGAATCATGGCAGGAGGTGAAAGGCACTTCTTACATGGAGACGGCAAGAGAAAATGACAGAGAAGCAAAAGTGGAAACCTCTAATAAACTCATCCGATCTTGTGAGACTTATTCACTATTACGAGACTAGCACAGGAAAGACTGGCCCGCATGATCCAGTTATCTCCTTCTGGGTTCCTCCCACAACATATAGGAATTCTGGGAGATACGATTCAAGTTGACACTTGGTGGGGACACAGCCAAACCATATCAATATCAGAGTAACGTAAATTCCTCAGAATGCTCCTTAATACAAGATAATCTCATGTTATAATTGCATATATCAGCCTAACATAATTAATGCTATGGAAGTCATATATAGCAGTTCCTTCCAAGAATTTGGTTTATTTTTTGTTAAAGATATACAATACAGTACAAAGTGTCTGATCTTCCAACATTTTCTGATATACATGAAAAGTATACTGTCTTTGAGCTTCCTTCAAGAGACTGAATAATAAGAATGCAGTTGTAGACCAAATCACATTACGTGTTGATTATCAAACATAGTTCCTTGTTGGATTTTTTTTGTTTTTGTTTTTGTTTTTGTTTTTGTTTTGAGACAGAGTTTTGCTCTTGTTGCCCAGGCTGGAGTGCAACCTCCGCCTCCTGGGTTCAAGTGATTCTCCTGCCTCAGCTTCCCAAGCAGCTGGGATTAACAGGCATGCACCACCATGCCCAGCTAATTTTGTATCTTTAGTAGAGATGGGGATTTTCCATGTTGGTCAGACTGGTCTCCGACTCCTGACCTCAGGTGATCCTCCCACCTCAGCTTCCCAAAATGATAGGATTACAGGCGTGAGCCACCGCACCCAGCCTCCTTGTTGGATTCTTAATGTTGCTTCTTTGTAGGTACTGTCTCTGTTTTCTGTAGCTGCTTTTAGGATTATCTTTTTATCTTCTGTTTTCAGCAGTTTTACTATCCTGTGCCTAGGTATGGTTTTCTTTATATTTATTTTTCTTATTTGTCCCTAGGAGTTCTTGAATCTGTGGCTTGTCTTCTATCAGGAAAATTCCAGGCAATTATCTCATCTCCTTTTTAATCTGCCCTGTTCTTTTTTTCTCTTCTCTGCTGTGACTCCAGTTACATGGATAATAGGGCATTTCACTATGTCTCATAAATCTTCTATGCTTTTTCCCTCTGTGCTTCATTGTGGATATTTTCTACTGATCTCTCGTATCACCAATCCTCTTTTCAGCTGTGGCTGCTCTACTACTAAACACATCTTCATTTTGGTTTATTACTTAGTTTTAACTTTTTTATTTCATTCATTTTATAGTTTCCAGGTAGCTGCTGGATTTTTCATATTGTTTTCCATCTTAAAAAAAAATAGCTATTTTAGGCCAGATGCAGTGACTCACACCTGTAATCCCAGCACTTTGGGAGGCTGAGGCGGGAAGACTACTTGAGCCTGACCAACATGATGAAACCCCGTCTCTACTAAAAATACAAAACTTAGCCGGGTGTGGTGGCACACGCCTGTATTCCCAGGTTCTTGGGAGGCTGAGGCTGGTGAATTGCTTGAACCCAGGAGGCAGAGGTTGCAGTGAGATGAAATCATGCCACTGTACTGTGGCGTGGGTGACAGAGCAAGACTCTGTCTAAAAAAAAAAAAAAAACTGATAGAATTTAAAATAATTCTATCAGTTCCAATATCCGCATCTCTTGTAAATCCACTGCTTTTCTCATTTTTTTCCTCTTGGTTTTTGATCTTCTGACATATTCTGTAATTTCTGATGGAATGCCGGAGATTGAAATATAAAATATATTGGAGATAATTTGAGGGTGTGAATGATGTTTTTCCCCCAGATAAGATATATGATTCTCTACCAGCAACTTCTGTTTCTGTCTTATTGGACAGAACTATCTCATACGGCTATCTGTGGTCTCAAGGGAGGCTAGAAAATGTCAGTTTACTGGGCTCATAACTGCTCCATCAAAAAGCAAAACACACACACATAAATTTGTTTTGCTACAATCCAAATCTATAAAATGATTACAGATATAAGTAAAACTGAACTTTTGTGCAAAAAGAGACTAAAAAATGTTTCAAAATGTTCACAGATTTGAGTTTCTAAAACTGAAAAGCAGTTTTAAATAAATTAAAACTTTGTTCATTTTTCTTTACTAAAAGCAGCAAAGTAGTAGTAAAAACTTTGAAAATTAAATTGGTAATATAAACTCCTAAAATCTAGAGCAAAAAAGCAAAGAAAATCTGGAATTTCACCAACCAGAGGTAAATTCTATCAACATTTCAGTAGATGGTCTTGTAATTTTATAAATGTTAACATTATAGTATGCACCCTATTTTGTGACTTACTTCTTTTGCTAAGTATCATATACACATTTTCATGTTAAAGTATATAATGTTTTACAGTTTAGAAATTATAATTTCCTTAATTTAACTCATAATGCCTTTTGACCTAGTATTCCACCATAGCAGTATGTATTTTGTGTCTGCTTGTTCTGTCCTCACACTTTTCTTGACCAGGTTAATATGTAATTATGTTATTGTTGATTAATACCTAAGGAATGTTTTATTTACTGGTCAATGGGAGTAATGAGCATATTAGGTAGGCTCTGACTCAGTAATAATGATTCCTGGTAGAATTTCATTAAAATCCTTTTGACTTGATATAGTACTATGATTTTAGTGTAAACAAAATGATTATTTTTCTACTCTATTTTAATAGTTTTTATTATCTTAAAACTAGAATAGATCCTAGACATCTCCTGAAAGCTGTGTTAGCATAAGATTTCTGTCATAAAATGTATACATATTAAAATAGTAAAACTGCTTTGAGATGCAAATTTTTGTAGCAGGCTTGCCTCCCTTGCTAGCCAAGTAATACATACATAGCACACAATAGAAAATATGATTTCAAAATTCTAGTTGAGTAATATTACAAATTACAGAACGTGGACCTTCAAGATCACTGTTGAATAGTAGAGATTATAAATATTAAATGCAGGAATAATGAAAAACCTAGTTTATAAATTATATATGATTTTATAAATATTTATTTGTGCCTACATTTTTAGTGGAAGATTTCCTTAATTTAGTGCCGGCTCCACATAATTGCTATTAATTTTGCTACCACAGATGTGTTTGCTGCTTTAGACTTTAGCTTTCTTAGGCAGACTTCTGTTTTAAGGTCCATCAGTATGTATTGCTCATCACTTACTGTTCATCTCACCCTAAGCTTTGTAGCTGGTGGACCTCAGATTCATTCTTGTATAAGTCCCGTTAAAATAGTGAGCGTGTTCCAGGTTAGGTTTCTGTGAAAGAATGTCTGAAAGGGATTGTTCTAAAGAGGAACAGTGACTATTCGATAATGAACTTTTCTACCTCTAATGAAATCACTCACATCATCAGTCCCTAGACATCACTCCCCGAAATCTCCACATGGCAGTGTGGGAATTTGTCTTGTCAGCTGGGTGGAGGTAATCCAGTACTGATTCTTAACCAGTTTAGAATTGCTCGTGATTAGTGCAGAATTGCTCATCACCAGTGGCAATGTAGAAATATCAATCTCTGGATTATATTGCTCCTAAGCTTTTGTTTCTTGAGAAGTTGATAGTTTGAATTCTTTTAAGCTTATACTACTAAATTTTTTAAAATTCATATATTGATGTCTCTTTAAGAAAGTACTCCTTTATTTTTAGTGTTTCATCTTTCCATCAAGACTTTTGGCCATGTTACCTTTTGTTTATTGTCTTCCCAACTAGATTGTACGCTGCTTGTAAGCAGTGACTTACATCTTTGACATCTGTGGATTCCTACCCACTCCCACAGTGCCTTCTGAAACATAGTAGACATTCCATAAATCTTTATTGTTTGATCAAAGTAAGTAGAGACAAACTGAGTTTTATTGGATATAACTTAGTCTTTAGTTATTTTAGAATTGTATGATTTCTCTGTCTTTTAATGATACTGCTTCTATCCGTAATGCTGGTTCATTTTTCCTGGAAAAAGCATCCTACATTTTATAATTTGGTTTTATCTCAGAATTACCTTAAATTTAGGCATTATCTTTCTTTTTAGTCTATGATAATTAGACAAATATTTTTTGAACTGGGCATAAAATTCTTAAATTTGAATACCATGTTTGACATAAGCATTTGTTTCATATCTTTCAGAACTTGATCTATGATTTTGGTTATTAGTCATTTAACAAACAGTGTAGGCAAAGCCATGTGCTACTGGTCAGTGGATAATTCATTATTATGACTGTTTGAAAAGGCATATACCTTTAATACTTTGTCAGTAAAATAGACTACTCAGTTTGTAATTTTTTTTTTGTCATTATAGGGTAAAGTTCACCTTGAATTAAAACTGAATGAACTGATAACGGAGAATGGAACTGTATGCCAGCAGCTTGTTGTACAGTAAGCATATTTCTTTTACCAGAATCAACTAGAAATAATTCTCCATTTTGTAGTCTTTTGATCTTAAATCAACTCCTTATTTTAACTTTTTTCAGAAATGAAATTCTGCTATGTCATTTCTTTTGTGAAGTTGATTTTCAATTTAATTTTCTCATATTTAGTCTCAGGTTATGGTGAGTCATTAATTTATTCAACTAATATTTATTGAATGTGGGTTAAATGATATATATGGGCATTAAGGATAAGAGTGTCTAACTCTCTGGCAGTGGAGAGTTGAAAAGGCTTCCCCGAGGTCTGCTAGAAATTGTAATACCACAGAGCAGAGCTTTAGAGACCTTGGAGCTAGAATACCCACCCAGAGAATACCACTATTGATTTCCACCTGCTTTGAATTCGTTTTTACCTCTTCTACCTCATCAAGTCATTTTTTACCACCCAGACTCTAATCTCCTGACTGTTCTGAAAATCTGTTCTAGCCCAATTCCCTACTCTTTTCCTCCCCTCCAAGCCCTTACTCTGTGTTATCAACAGACTGCCAGATATCCTTCACTTCTTATGGGTGTTTTCTTTGTTTTTGCATTAGTTGACATCTGAATATCTCATGAAGTACTGCAGTTCTATCACAACCTTCTCAGTCAGAGGCTTTGTTTTTCTCATGTCCACATATTGTAAGGCCAGGGAGTAGAGTAGCCATTACTCTCTCGTTGCTGCTCCAGACTGTAACTTGTAGTCAGTTGTGAACCCCAGCCCCTTTGAAGTATTCTATTTACTACTATATATAATATTTTGTTAATTTTTTCTGACCTCTTTGAAAGAAGATTGCATATGTATGACTCTTTATCTCTTAATATATCAGTATGTATTTTCTAAGAATAATGATGTTGTCTTAAATAACTCCAGTAGTTACCAAATTCAGGAAGTTTAACATTGTTACAATACTTTCTAAAAATCTCTAGTTGTCTTCTAATATTTTAATCTGCGGTTATTACATTTCACTTTTAACTGTCCCAGTGATGTCTGTTAAGGCGTTTTTTTTTTTCCTCTAAGAAAGGATCCACTCCAAGATTGTTTTATGTTTAGTTGACATGTCTCTTTAATCTCCTTTACCGTAATTTTTCACTTTTCTTTGATTGTGTTACCATTTTAAAAGAATATAAGCCAGTTTTTTTTTTTTTTTTTTTTAAATATTTCTCAATTTGGGTTTACCTCCTAAAAACAGTTCAAGATCTGTTTACAGCTTTTTCCTCACAGACTGACTCTGTAGACCACCTGAGAGCATATGGTGAAAGTTTCTGGATTAGGTTTTCAACTGCTCCCTCCCCTGCTTCAGTTTAATTATAATAGTCATTTGAAATACAGTTAGTTGGGTTGGTTTGGTTTGTTTGCATTCACTGTAAGGGTTTTTTTTGGTGCCCTTTCCCCCGAATTTAAGTTTTTCCCCTTATCCTTGTAGGCTTAATTTTATTTTTAAAATAGAATATTTGCATGGTTACAAAAGGCATTACTCAGAGATGTAGTTCAGTTCTCTCTCCCCACACCCAGCTCCCGGTAACCGTGATTGATTTCTTTCCCTATGGTTTTTGCCATTTCCAAAGTGTTATTTGAACAAAAGTAAATGATACGTCTTTTTTATGTCTCCTGTCTTTCACTTAGCATAATGCTTTTGAGATTCATCCACATTGTACGTATATAATTTCCTTTTTGGTATATTATTTTGTTTCTTGTCATAATTTGGTAGATACTGTTAGCCTTATTTTGCAGAATGCAAAACTAATACCCAGACTGGTTAAATAAGCCTAAGTTCACACAGGAAGTGGTAGAGCCTGAATTTGAACTCTGGCAGTTTGTTTTTTTTTCCCCCCAACTTCTAAATTTGGAAAAAATTACAGATTTACAGAAAGTTGTAAGGATAGTACAGAGAGGTCTTGTGTACCCTTCACTCTTTTTCCTTCGGTGGGTACATCTTGCATGCCTATAGCATAATACCAAAATCAGGAAATTTCCATTGACAGAATGTCTGTATATAGTTATATATCATTTTATCATGTGTGTAGATTTATGTAACTGCCACCACCAACATACGAAACTCTTCTGTCACCATAAAGATATCCTTTATACTATAGCTTTATAGTCATAACCACTCTTCTCTTCTAACCCTTGGCAACCTCTAATCTGTCTTTATAATTTTGTCATTTCAAGAATGTTATATGAATGGAATCTTATTATGTGACCTTTTGAGATTGGCTTTTTTTTTTTTACTCAGATCTATCTGAATGACTGTAGTTTTTTGTAGATGGAATATAGTTGAATCACTTTTCTTTTTTTTTTTTTTTTTTTTTGAGACGGAGTTTCGCTCTTGTTACCCAGGCTGGAGTGCAATGGCGCGATCTCGGCTCACCGCAACCTCCGCCTCCTGGGTTCAGGCAATTCTCCTGCCTCAGCCTCCGGAGTAGCTGGGATTACAGGCACGCGCCACCATGCCCAGCTAAGTTTTTGCATCTTTAGTAGAGACGGGGTTTCACCATGTTGACCGGGATGGTCTCGATCTCTTGACCTCGTGATCCACCTGCCTCAGCCTCCCAAAGTGCTGGGATTACAGGCTTGAGCCACCGCACCCAGCGTTGAATCACTTTTCTAAAAAAATTATTTTTGCCAATCTCTGTCTTTTCTTTGGTGAGTTTTTTCCATTTATTTTTAATGTAATTATATATATGTTGGGCTTAAATCTGCTGTTTTTTGTTTGTTTCCTGTTTTCTATTTTCTTTTTCCTTTGGGTTACTTGAACACTTTTTAGAATTCCATTTTGATTTATTTAAATTGTGTTTTTAAAAAATCTGTGGTCTGTCTGCTTGTATAGTTTTTTTTAGTGGTTGCTAGGTATTACATTATACATGCAGACCTATCATAATGTACTAATGTCAACGTTTTAACAGAATAAAGTGTTTATACTTTTATTTTCCTTTAAATCCCTTTACCCTCCCATTTGTAATATATTTTATCTTAAATATTTCATCTACATATATTTAGAACCACATCAAACATTGTTATAATTTTTGCTTCAACCATCTAACACAATTGAAAAGAGTTAAGAGGAGAAGGAAAGTCTGTTGTCTTCACTCACATTTTTGCCCTTTTCATGTTGTTTTTTTTCCTTTCTGATGTTTCAAGATTCCTTCTGTGATCAGGTTTAGAGGGTTTTTTCTCTTAGCATTCTTTTAGAGGAAGTCTCTTGGTGATAACATTCTCTTGGTTTTTCTGCATCTCAGAAGGTTTTGATTTCCTCTTCATTCATGAAAGATAATTATACTAGATACAGAATTCTGAGTGGACAGTTCTTTTCTTTCCACACTTGAAAAATGTACCACTTCTTTGTGTCCTTCATGGTTTCTGTGTGGCTGCTTTTAACGTTGTTCCTTTGCCTTTAGATTTCTTTTCTTTCTTTTTTCTTTTTTTTGAGATGGAATCTAGCTCTGTCGCTGAGGGGCTGGAGTGCAGTGGTATGATCTCAGCTTACTACAACCTCTGCCTCCTGGGTTCAAGTGATTATCATGCCTCAGCCTCCTAAGTAGCTGGAATTACAGGCATGCACCACCATACCCGGGTATTTTTTTATATTTTTAGTAGAGACAAGGTTTTGCCATATTGGCCAGTCTGTTCTCGAACTCCTGGCCTGAAATGATCCTCCTGCCTTGGCCTCCCAAACTCCTGGGATTATAGGTATGAGCCACTGTGCCCAGCCTGCCTTTAGATTACTATGTGTTTTAGTTTGACTATGACGTATCCTGGAATAGATTTCTTTTGGTTTATCTGGTTTGGGATTCGCTCAGCTTCTTGTCTATGTACATTTACATATTTTGCCAGATTTGGGGAGTTTTTCAGCCATTATTTCTTCTATTAATTCTTAATCACTTTTGCTATCTTTCTCTTCTCCTTTTGGAACTCCAGTGGCACAAATGTTAGGTCTTTTTTTTTTTTTTTCCCACAGTCTCACAGGTCCCCCTGAGGCTCTGTCCTTTGCTTTTCCTCAGAGTCTGTTTTCCCTCTGTTCTTCAGATTGGGTGATTTCTGTTGTTACTTCTTCAAGTTCACGGATTCGTTCCCCTCTACATGTCCACGTGTTCTCATCATTTAACTCCCACTATAAGTGAGCACATGCAGTATTTGGTTTGGTTTTCTGTTCCTACAATAGTCTGCTAAGGATAATGGCCTCCAGCTCCACCTATGTTCCTGCAAAGGATATGATCGCATTCTTTTGTACGGCCACATAGTATTCCATGGCATATATATACTGCATTTTCTTACCCAGTCTGCCATTGATGGTCATTTAAGTTGATTCCATGTCTTTGCTATTTTGAATAATGCAATGAGCAATTATAAGTATGTTAGAAAAAAACAACAAACAAGAAAGTCTTGGCAAAATTAAGTCTCACCAAAGGAAAAAAGTTATAAAGAAGAATCAAATATAAATTTTAGAATAAAAAATAGAAAAACAAACAAACTCAACAGATAGGCTAAACAGAAGAATGAAGAGGACAGAGGAACGAATCAGTAAACTTGAAGAAGTAGCAATAGAAATAACACTAGGGGGCTGGGTGTGGTGGCTCAAGCCTGTAATCCCAGCACTTTGGGAGGCCGAGGCGGGTGGATCACGAGGTCGAGAGATTGAGACCATCCTGGTCAACATGGTGAAACCCCGTCTCTACTAAAAATACAAAAAATTAGCTGGGCATGGTGGCGCATGCCTGTAATCCCAGCTACTGAGGAGGCTGAGGCAGGAGAATTGCCTGAATCCAGGAGGCGGAGGTTGCGGTGAGCCGAGATCGCGCCATTGCACTCCAGCCTGGGTAACAAGAGCGAAACTCCATCTCAAAAAAAATAAAAAAAATAAAAAAAAAAAATAACACTAGGACCTACCAGAGGGTGGAAGGTAGGAGGAGGGAGAGGATCAGGAAAAATAACTACGGGTACTAGGCTTAATACCCTAGTGATGAAATAATCTG